CGGACCGGTCATCGAACCGGTTAAGGTACTGGGTCAGTGGGTCAAAGGTTGAACCGGTGGGTCACTAGTTGAACCGCATGACTCGATTTTTATTTATTTTTATTAAAAAATATTCATATTAAATATATTTTATACTTATAAATTTTAATAAATTCATATCTTATTTTAAATTTCATTTTCTATCTTATTTAAAATTATTTTTATTTTTATTTTGTAAAAAAATATATAAAAAATTACATGTTAAACTGTATATTAATACAAATTAAATATATAAATAATATGTACATATATAATATGCTTGTAATTGATATCACAAAATAATATATGTAATATCTACATAGATATTATATTAATAAATATATAATTTAAAATTAATAATATACTATAAAAGTTATTTAAGTTGTATATATTACAAACAAATACATTAGAACAAGTAGTCATTGTTATATTTAATAAGACTCTTTGCACTTCTATTAAGAGATTTAATTTTCATTATTATTTTTGTGGTTTATGATCCCTTAAATTTTTTTTTAAAAAGATAAGAAAAAAAGTGGTTGAACCGGTTTGATCCACCGGTTCACCGATTAAACTGGAAAATTGACTGATTCAATCCAGTCTAAAACGAATCGACTGTATAACCGATCCAACTTAAAATTCAGATCAGCTGAATCACCGATTCCTGATCCAACCGGTCCAATCGGCCGGTTCGATCCGAGTTTTAAATCAAGCACAAGAAACATGAATTATTTACGCTTTGATAGCTGAGCTTTGAAGATCTATATTTCTAAATATCTAAAGGTTCTAAGCTCTTTTTAATTATAATAGAATACTCCTTTTTCTCGATCCTTCCACCTATATTCTATGCAATATTCCTTATTTCTTATTTTCAACCCCAAATACACAAACTAATTGAATCAATAATTAACTATTTTCCTCACTAATGTGTACCTATATATTAAGACTTTCCTCTAAATATTCAACTTGTCCTCAAGGTGAAGGACTTATCAATAAATATATTCAAACCTAATATGATAAAATCAAATTAACCAATATCTTACACTGATTACTTGTTTGTCGTTATAGTAAACAAATGGAAAGAAAATATTTGAAGAAAAAAAGTCTTTAAACTATATATTGTTCTCATAGGATATAAAAAATTAATATAACATTTTCTAAATAATCTAATTAAATTTGGATTGTACATTGATAAAAAAAAAAAAAAAAAGGATTTATGTATATAAATGGATATATTGGAACAATATTGTACTTTTATTTTGTCAAACAATTGCTCCTAAATTAGTTGGAATATGCCCTTCCGTTCCGTGCCTTAAATGACCAAACACAACGACGTACGAAAATTTGGCACCTTCAAATTAGTTTTTTTGGTAAAGATGACGAACTCGATGATGTATAACGTATGAACATAGTATAATTACATCACATTAATCATCGTGTTTCCCACAAAACTACTATTTCCCGCGCATTTTTAATTACATTTAAAAATTTGATCTTCCATAAGTTGAAACTTCTCTTTCGAAGTTGGACTCCATGAATAAGCAAGCAAGGATGAATTAATTCTTAATAAAATGAGAGAAATGATCCGTACCATGGTTTTTTTATGCTATTTGATTTTAAACAGATAATGTATCCTATGGATAATAATTAAATATTTATTGTCACGATGAGATCGAATCTTACATTCCCCTGTATATATGTGTGTCCGTGACTTACAAGTTATATTCAATCTATTGGTTGGCTTAGTTTATTCTCCAAAGTCTGAATTTGTTGTACATCTATCCAAAAATATACTAGTTGCATATAAGATATCTCATATCTACATAATCACATGATTCAACATTGTAAAGAAACTTAAAATATATATATATATAATTATTAATAACAAAAGTTGGGAATAATATGCTTTATATAATTGCGTTAGTTAAGATGAAAGTTGGTACAATAATTATGTAGTAAAATTTGTTTTTCTTAAAGAAATATTTAAGTTCTAAAAGATCACTTATAATTAAATATATTCTCTCAATATATACATATAGATATATTAATATAAAGTTTCGTTGACTTAAATACTCATTATGACTAAATATATATTAGCTTTACGTGAGAGAAAATATTTCCAATTTTCCGGATATTAACTTGAAAAACATGTTGGATCGACTGTCTTTTCAAATTTTACTACAATGTTTTAATTGTTTGTTGAAGAAGCGTTGTTGTTGCTATTTGTTTACATTATTTACTGTCTGATTTTTATTTTTATTTTATAATCAGTACTACTAATTAAGAAGAAGGAAAAGTAACTAGAAAAATAAAATACTACCTCCAGTGTTAATTATAAATAACATAAAATAAATCATCAAGATAAAAAAGTAATTAAGTTGAATATTTTTAATTAATTCCATCATAAATTTAAATTTTATTTCAAGATAAATTTTATTTCAAGTGATTTATATTTATTTTTTTTTTACAAAATAAATACATATGAAATCGAGTAAAATATAAATTAAAGGCATAGAATTTTTTTTTATCCCAAAATAAATTTAAAAATTAATAATTGTTTTTGTAATTAGAAAATAAGTTGTGTTTATTGCGTCTAAATACTAGAAATACTTATGGTAATTAATTGTACTTTGAAATTATGTTGCAATAGAACTAGCTAGCCAGTGCAAGGTTTATCAATGCTTTCAGAGTTTAAGGTTGTTCCACTGTCTCAATTTACACAAAAAATTTAATGTCTTCATTTCGCGATATAGATTGTTACTCCCTTCTCG